GCCATGAGGTTGGCCCAATAATCTTGCGTACCATGAGCTAATTTAATCACATGGGTCCATTTGGCGATTCAAGGTTGGGTAAGGATTCATAGGGAACCTTTAAGTTTTGGAGTTGAGCTAGTCTATCAAACTTGTAAAGCATGTTGGTGGAGGTAAACCACAAGCAAGACAGTATTCATTGGGTCACTCATAGACTGACACGGTCTCAGTTCTACAATCTGAATCGATCGGGCAGTTTTTTTGGATACTTGACTGATTTTCTGGTTTCAGAGTTGGTATTGGGAACATGTTTAAACCGGTTTGGATTCCTCTAAGATTAGGTGAGACTAGTACTGGTCCTGAAATTAACGAATGTTCTCATGGGAGTGAAATAGTGACTTCAGGCATTTTTACTTGGTGCAAGTCGCTGGAGCTATTCAACTGTCATCATCTTGCTCTTTTTTATGAACCAGCACAACAGCCCCATCACACCCCGGCGGAGCCCGCCACAACACGGTGGTTGAGTCCCGCCACCGGTGCCCTCCACTTCTATATCATAGTGCTGGCACACCCACCTGTGGTAATATTGCAGCAGTAAATGGCTTTGAAAGGCTCGGGATAGTTGGTGATAGTTAAACTTGAGTGGCATCAAAGCACCATGTCCCGCTCCTCTTGCTACCTTAGGATGACACCCCATCCCGAGGGTCACCCCAGGACCGGTTCGGTAGTTAGACTAGTAGAGAGAGAATGGGGTTTCATACTAGGTCTTTCTCATGAATTGAATCCGGGATTTCTCCCTTGTGCCACCCTCTTCTCAGTAGTTTCTCAGCAGTTGAGCTATACTCTGGCCCACTTGCTATTTCAGTATTTCTTGATTTCATGTAATGTAGTGTAGTCAAGTCAGTTTATGTCCTTAGTATGGTTAAATGCGAAACACCCACCGTTTTTCAGACATAGTTTATGACATTGTTAGAAGCATGTGGCCTGGCTGACTGGCTGGCTCATATAACTTTGGGCGGTGGGGTGGGACTAGACAGACTTGGGAGGAGATTTGGGGCTCAATTATTTCTACTGCATCTACCGACAATGTGTTGCTGTCCTAAACTTTTCCACAAGCCTATTTACACCCTCGTATTGTAGGGCTGTTTGGTTGTCAACGTGCTACACAGAATTCAATTTTTACATTTTGTGTTGTCATTACTCCTACCATTCTGTGGTTCTGTGCAGAACTGCAGATGCTGACGTTACACTTAGATTGTTAATTGGTTGTCTTAAAGGGACCAACACTGCTTTCTTCTCTTCTGGAAGGAGAAAACCTATTACCTATGGGGTTAAATTATTAGAGACCAAGCCAAACAGGCCGTATGAATCCCTATGATAAACGCAGAAACGACCTTCCTAAGTTGGACGGTTTGAAGATTAGGTTAGTGAATTCCCTCATACTTTTAATACATATAAGACGACATAAAAAACAATAATTGATAGAATCAACAGAGCATAAAATGAACAGTCCCTAAGCATATTTTCCGTGATGTTTGGCTGTTTGATCTCAAATGCCAGCGAGCTAAAAATATCAACCTTGTGTTTGACTTTTTGTGATTAGTATTTGACACAACTTGTTACTCTAAAAACATGCTCAAATTCAAGCTATTGGCTCATGCACACTGGTTGGATCGTGGTGGAATTACCATTTGGTCGTTTAGATAAATTTTCTATTAAGCGTTCTTCTTAGTTATATAGCCTATAGGTAGAGTTGTCAAAACAATATTGAAGATATGATAGTCAAAACTATATACCTTCGTATTTTGGCCCGGCCTCAAGCCAACCCGCAACCGGTTTGGGCTAACCCATTTAACCTGCAATGTGGGGGTTGATCCGCAAAAATTGTGAGTTAATCAGGTCTGAAAATGATAATCCGTGATTGAATGGGGTCAGCCCGTGGATTTCAGCACATCCTGACAGCTACCATAGGTCCTGAACTTGTTTTAGGAAGAGTCTTAAAATGTCATGGCTGACCCTCATTACTATGCTGGGCTTGCTTCATTTGCCTGGTATTAGGATTTTGTAGCTCATTAAGCTTGAAGTTGAGCTTCAAATAGGTGTGGACACGATTCTGATTTTGGAACTATACTGGACCGGAATGGTTGGTTTTCGCCCAAATCGCAACGAGAAAATGAGGACTGAAATTAACATCCAGAATTAGCTCAGATCAATTCAATACAGAGTTGGAACCGGCTAGAGTATATCTTTATTATGTACTCAGTAATATATATTTTTTAAGAATCAATTTTTTTAAACCGGTAAGTTAACCAGCAAAAATAGTGGAAACAATCGAGAACAGGTCGAGTAGATTGGTACCAATAATGAGTACGGAGTAGTTTTTATGAAGTAGTATTGGGAAAAGTATCAAATCAGTCCTCGAAGTAAAGGGAAAGCAGTCAACTGAATTGTTGAAGATAGTTGCGCAGTTAAACAACGCAGTTGAAATTTGATATGAGTAAACTAGACTTAATGAAGAAGATGGTAAAAAAAATTCATCAAAAAATTCCACCAGGAACCGTACCAAATGACGACGGCCGGACAGAGTCTCCCATATAAGGGGTGATTTGCTCTATTAAATGACATCATTTAATTGGGTGTTTGATTCTCTTAAAAAATCGGGTGTTTGATTAAATTTTTTTTTGACACATGCTAAGTGGCACAAAATCGATTCGCAATAGGAAAAATTGATAGTAATAATCCCAACTATTGGCGGTCCGCTCATAATAATCCCAACTATTGATTATTACAGAATAATCCCAACTTTAGGGACCTTCCGCCAATAATGGTCCCTATGAATAAATTCTTGTAGTTTCTAAAGTGAATGAGATGAGATATAACAAGTAATCCCTATAAATAATCTCAACTTTTAATTTTTACGCTTAATTTCTATTTAAAGTTCACTTTTTATAGAGGTAATATATGGTCATGGACCATTATTGGCGGATAGTCTATGTAGTTGGGATTATACAAAAATAATCAATAGTTGGGATTATTTTCAGCGGACCAGCAATAGTTGGGAATATTATTTTCAATTTTTCCTTGGCAATATAGAAATACAAATCCCTTATAAAGACAAAATATGTGACATTATTCTGGATGAAACAATCTTACAACAGATTGAACCTATGCAAAAGAGGAGTAGTACTTCCTGATAAAATTGTCTTGAATGTTTTAGATTAATTTGAATGTTTTTCGCTCATATTTTGTTCTCAAACTAATGGTCATGTTTATGTTTATGTTTGGGTAAATATTTTTTAGGGAAAACTGTCAAATAGGTCCTCGAACTTTCATAAAAAAGTCAATTAAGTCCTTCTATAGGAGACTTTGTCCGGTCATCGCGATTTGGGGCGGTTTCCGGTGGAATTTTTTGATGAAATTTTTTGAGCATCTTATTCATCAAGTCTAGTTTACTCATACCAAATTTCAGCTAAAAATTTAATCGGGAGCGCATTCAAATTAATTCGAGAACGCAAAAATGTGCAGTTATCTTCAAAAATTAATTTGAATGTGTTCCCTGTTGAATTTTTAACTGAAATTTGGTATGAGTAAACTAGACTTGGTGAATAAGATGCTCAAAAATTTTCATAAAAAAGTTCCACTGGGAACTACCCCAAATCGCGACGGCCGGACAGAACGTCCTATAGAAGGACTTAATTGACCTTTTTATGAAAGTTCGAGGACCTATTTGACAGTTTTCCCTATTTTTTATGTTATACTCGGTCAATGTTTGTAGTCTCACCCTAGTGAGTAAAAATTCTGGAGGCCATCTAGGAAGCACAGAAACTCTCCATGACTCACGTTTCCACGTTTCGGAAACTCGGAAGCGTTTCGGAAACTCGGAAACTTCAAATTTCCATTTCGCGACCGTTTCCGTAATTAAGAAAAATCTAGAAACCCGATTCACTACGTTTCGGAAACCTCGGATTCCAATTTTTTTCTTTTTCAAAAGATTCTGTGGTGGAAAATAATTTTTTATAGTGAATTTTTGTGGTATTTCTCAGCGGCAACACTTGTTACATTTCGTAACGCAATGTGTTGCTAGAAATTTATTACTCCGTACATTTTATGTTTAATTATGTACTAATACGAAATAATATCTAAATTCGAACATGTAGAGTGATTTTATTATTTGGTTACTAAACAAATTATATTAAAAAAACACGTGCATATGGAAAAACTTGTGTACATGTGTTAAAAAAAAATTATAAATATATCCTTATATTTTATAATATTTACGCATTTCCCCACGTTTCGTGTCCTATATGCTTTAGAAATTGCGTTTCTCGCGTTTCCCGTTTCACGTTTCCCGTTTCCCGTTTCCATGCTACTTAGGAGGCTATTCATGGCGGTAATACCAAGTATTGATATAAGTTCACGGGGGCCCTAACTTGAACTGGTCGATAAGTAAACGTTAACATACCCGCACGGGTAGCTCAATTGGTTCAGTGGTAGGAAATTTGCAACAATGACCAAAGTTCGAAACCCGCAGCGGCCGTGTGGAGATTACATCTCCTGCGTGATGGGCTGAATCTCTGTAGCGCAAGGGTATAAGACCTACCACCATTGGACCGACTGAGTCACCATGACTTATTCCTTCACCATTCTGTCGGGTCAGGGCATGACAACTCCTGAGGTGCAAGATTCCACCAAAAGTAATCGTTAACACCTCTGCGGGTCGGTAACTGATTCTGAGGGGCTCACGTATCTTGCTTCTGGAGTTTGTGTGGATGATGGCCTCTAAAGTAATGAGTTAATAATTATACGAATGACCAAAAACCAACAATTGGTACTATTGGAATGGGTGGGGCATGTTTGGTAGTTAGCCTTCAAGGCGAGTGGTCCATCCTACTTTCGGTTTTCAACTACGACTCTACGAGTATAGTAAGCCGTTTGGTGAGGTTAAAATTTAAAACATAAGATATTATTGGAACCTTGAAATATTTGAGTGTACTACATTGGAATGGAATAAGAAGAAAAATGGGAATTTGTCCCACACGGCCGGGACTCACAACTCATGAAGAGATTGGGTCTAATCCGAGACAAAATTCGTAGGTGTTTTAACAACTTGAATTATACACGGATGGGTTGTTGGGGAAAACACGACACCCCGACCTTCACCAGGATCACGAGCTAAGAAAAACTCTTGGAAATCCTACATCCCGCCCAAATTTTCATTTAAGATGTGATCTGTGCAAGGGTGGATTGGAAATAATTCCACACATGTTCTTCCTTTGCCCCTTTACTTGCAGGGTATGGGAAAGGGTTCAGGCATGGATTGGTGTTGGGCATCAGATGACCACGCTCCTTGGTGCAATCAAATGGATTTCCAAGATGCACAAAGGAGCAACGGTGAAAGCCAAGGCAGGGAGGCTTGCTTTCTGTGCCACGACCTATTATATTTGGCAAGCAAGGAATGAGACAAGATTTGATGAAGGCAAGAAGACTGAAGAAGATGTGGTTGCTAAGATCAAGCACGTGGTTTACAAGATACTCTTTAGTATCTACCCGCATGACTTGATAAAGTTTTGACGTGGAGTCAAGTTTTGGATACCACGGCATAGGCTATAGATTGGATTATTGTGCGTGCTCCTTGTAGCGCCATTCATTGTTTTGACTGTTTTTTGAATCACCAGCCACGTGCCTAGTGGCCGTTTGGACTTAGACAAGATGATTAGCCTCTCTTCAACCTCTCCTTTTCCTTTGAAATGGGAAAGGGTGGGGGGCTATTACTTTTTGGACACATTGTACATGTTATTTTTGTTTGGGTGTTAATATATATTTACATTTCATCCAGAAAAAGAAGAAAAATGGGAAGAAAGTGATAGAAGTAGGGGTAGACACAGTTCAAGTCCTGGAACCGGTGCGGAGAGGAAACGGTTGGTTTTTAACCAGAAACGACCTGGACAGTTCCGGGATAGAAGCATAGTCGGGGGAGGGTTTAGGTTACCGGTCCCCGAACTGGAACTGGCCAGGTGACATTGGTACTGGCCGGTTGACTGAAATTGGGATTATAGGTCCAAGTCTTGGGCTCCTGTCATCCTGTGTATAAATGCAAGGACGGGAACCGGCCCAGAATGGGACTAGTATACCAAAGGGCCTTTCAAGAGAATGTCATTAATACTTTCAAAAGAATGTCATTAATACTCCGTATAATATAATAACTTGAAAACAATTGTAAATTCATGTCTAAAGATTAAGCCAAAAGACTTTGAAAAAGTTCAGATTAGTTGTTTCGTGTCTCTATGCACTTGAAGTGGACATATGAATTGGGGTGGCCGTGGGGGATCACTGATCACATGATTCACATGGTTGAAAATTGAAATGTGTGTAAAACAGCTAAATAACAGAAACTTCAATGTTCTTTTAGATCACATACTCAGAGTATTTAGAGGAATGGCATAATAATCATTAATTAAACATAAAACTTCATATGTCAGGCATGAGGTGTCACTTATAAATTATACTACCTCCGTCAGTCCGTCCCCCTAAGTTTGGGACAAGAGAAGGTGACACGATTATTAATAAAAGTGGGTTTATGTGATTGATATTGAATTGATAAAGTAAAATTAAAGTAGAAATGATTTAGAACCACACAAACTTTATCAAATAAAGTATGAGACAATCTTAGTGAGACGAACCAAAATGGTAAAATGGGACAATCATAGCGGGACGGAGGGAGTAACAACTACGAGACAGGCGATGATAATATGTGAATATTTAATAATTGAATGTTAATGTTGTTAAGTATGAAAATTAGCACAAGTTGCTAACACTGAAGAACAAAATCTGATTTTGCTCTTCATCTCTATTTTTTTCATTCACTTGCCAATTCTTATATTTTATATCAAATGATTAAATTGAATTTAAAATATTGCACTAGACTATATTCAGTTTAGAAAATCCAAAGCTTTGATCTAACTGCAAACCATAATTCCATAGGGTCACAAGCTGTCAAGCTCAACAATAAAAACCCAGATTATTCAACAATTTTCATTTCTTTATTGCCAGTTTATAAAGATTAAGGGACGTTTAATAATTTCCATGAAAAATTCTTTCCACCCGTGTAACCTTGTCCCATGAGATTCACTATCTTCCTACAAAAGGAAAATAATTGCATTTGACCATCTACTTTCCTTAGTCAAATACAGTAAACAAACAATACTTGGAAAGCAAATCACTTCCCAAGGAAAAAAACACCTCCTTTAGTGAGAACAGGTGAATCTAAAAATACTCTACACAACCAAATCATATACAGCAATGAAGAGCTGGACAGACAGGATTTTCTTGGATTTTCTTGAATCTTCTTGAGAGATGTCAGTTGAATGAGTTTAGATAAAAGTCAGCATCTTGTGGGACCTTGAAAAGATTATGAACATCCGGGAGGTGACCGTTGGTCGGTTCGGGTTGCCAGTACTGTGGGGGTGTGAGGGGAAGGTGGAGGGGGATTGTTTGTTGTTCGTGTAAGGCGGTGGTGGTCGGGTTTGCAGATTCTGAAATAGAGGAATTGTTGTGTTGGTCTTCACATGAACCCCAAGAAGAAGTTGACAGAAGAGAGAGAGCACGGGGATACTTCTCTGTCATGCTTGTTTCCATGTAGAACATAGCTCCCTTGCCACCTGAACCAAACAGATATTATCATATAAGAACCTGTTTTTTCTTTTCCTTTTTAGATGAAAATCTAGAAAAGGTATATGAAAAAGTAAGGACATACTCGTATGTTTTACTTTTGATGCATTTGTGATTGCCAAAAGTCAAACAAATTGTAAAAAGCTTCTATAACAGGAAATTGGAGCATGTATATATTAACGAAGGGAGCATGGTGTATATCTTAGCACGCCCTCTCAATCCCTCATTAGTGTGAGCTAATTCTTTGATTTGGTAAGGATAACATGTGGATAAGTTTGGTGAAGTTGAGGCAGAATGAACTGAATCATCAAGTTCTCATCATTTTTCATCATTTTCATTTACCCCAATGCCGCAAAGGCTCCCCCACCTACGATGGGGTAAGGGGGGTCGGATGTACGCAGTCTTACTCCTGTACTAAAGCACAGAGAGACTGTTTCCGGATGACCCATAGTGAAAATCGCAACCAAAATTGCATGGACTGACTGCTGCTTCATAACAAAGAAGCGCAGACAATTTAGTGAGCCATTTTGCTTTATTCCATCATATTCTCAAGCCAAAAAATAATGAATCTTTGGCTCCATTGCAAATGATGGAAAAAGAATCATCAAGTTCTGATGAATAAAAAAAATAATATATGAAAATAAGGGCAGGGTGTCATTTTCTTTTAATAAAAAGTGATATGCATAACTTTTTTCGATTATCAGCGAGTTTAGCTAAAATTTCTTAATATTTCAACGTTTGGTAAAAATGTGGCTAACAAGGTGATTTCTTTTCCTACATATGGACACTTAGAATCCCGTAAGTTCATATATATGTCAACGCATTTGATTGCATAGGTTAGAATGCAAGCAAGACCTAAGCTAAGGGATTGATGCGTATCAACTAAAAACATAAGCTTAGGTAAGAGTTTGGTTCAAGATGAGGTAAACATATCCCATACCCTTTGCTTGACATACTAGCAAGGGAAGAGCACCAAACTTTTTACCTTTCTCTTGTTTTTGTTGCCTTAAAGTGAGAGCAGCACCCTCCCCTTCCTCACCCTCCAACCAAACTTTAGCCTTTTTGTAGGATTGCAGGATTTCACATTCATTACTTATATGAGTATATACTAAGTTACTAACAATAATTGAATGAACTGACTAAACTATTTTAAATATATAAACAAGGAACTCATGCTGTTATGCACCACTTTTTACCATTATCACCCTATTCAATGAATGCAGTCAAATAAGTCGGCATTAGAGCTAAGTTCTCACTTTACACACTACTCTGTAGTATATAATAAACAAGATAGAGGATTTCAATGGTAGAAAACACACCTTGTGTGAAGCTGTCTTCTGTGGGGCCCTTGGATTCCAATAGTACATTATCGGACACATTATTTTCACGAAAACTGAAAGCGCTAGGCTGGTGGATCCCTGTGGACAGGTATGATTGTTTGTTTGTACTACTGGATTTTTCGGGCTGCGAAGTACACCCTCTTGTAATAGTGTACATGTTGGAGGCATATGTGTTGTTATTATTTTCCCAGCAAGTTGAATTTGAAGCAGTTTTATTAGTGTCAAAAAGTGGGACATTGTTCATCATGAAGTTTATTTGTTGCCTACCATCTGCGAATAGAAGTTAAACATGAACATCCAAAGTGGGAAGTGGCAGAAAAATACAAAAATGCATCTTATTATGCTCCATCAGTAGCCATAATTGGCTTATTATGCTAACCAAACTCCATTAGTAGCCATAATTGGCTTATTATGCTAACCAATGGAACAATGAGTAGATTTTCCTTGCTTACTATGCTGAAATGAATCTAAGCAAAACACTTGCAGAAACTCGCCAGATTGGAAAATTTCACTCAATTAGCCTTTACTAAACCAATCTTTAAAAAATTTTGATTTCAATTGGTGAGATTTCACGTTTTACACGTTATTACCAATTTGGCTTTCGTTTTCATTTTTTTTGTCTTTTCAAATTTGTAAACATGTTGAATCTGTTTTTGGAAACTTCGTTTTTTCTTTGTTTTTTCAGTTGCTTAAAGCCATAAGAATACTCCCAAGGCCACGCTTTCTTCTTTCTGTTTTCAAAGAGAATTAAAAACAGAAACAAACAACAAACATACTACAAAATGAACCATTGCTAGTAAGTTATACTCCGTAATACTTCTTAAGTAACTTCCACATTAGATCATCCCCTAAGAGAAGTTTGCAGTAATAACATGAACAGAAAAAGGCTGAATCTAAGGTGCGCTCTACCTTTTCTATGTATCACTTGTTATGACATATTGATAAACAGTAATGGAACAGAATCAAATATAGTTTTAGTGTGACTTTCAGATATCGACATCATAAATGCATTCGATTACGTTCCATACAGCTCACCAAACTTGACTTATGATCAATGACAAAAAGTGAATCACCATCATCATACATTCATACCATAAAAGGAAGGAGATGGCCTATTGGTTGAATTACTGAACTGAAAAGTATCCTGTTGTGGCTTGCGGCGTCTTGCATTGTGATCACAGAGTCTACGTCGACAGCTGCGTTTCTTTTCATCAAATTCTGACAAGCTATGGAACCTTCAATGATGGAACATTATTCAAAATATGTGTTATTATGTTGTGAAAGAACGTGTTAAAACTAAATGCTATCTATAATCAAGAACTTAATTTCATTGATGGAGGAAATAACTAATAAAAGGGTGAAAGGGTGAAAAACCTATATGTAGGTCTATTCACCCTCAAAAAGTATAAAACTCATTTATTTTGAAGGTCAGAAAATACATTTGAATCCTTCAGGATAAATTTTATCACCCCTCTTTCACTCCACATTTCTAACCCTTCATATTTCAATAGTTCAACAAATATAGGAACACCTGTTTCATCTTTAAAATAATAATAGTAGTAGTAATAAATTAATAATATTCCCTTTTTCACTTTCAATTTAACCAAACGTCACTAGCACGTGAAATAACAAAGTAAAAATCGTGTAGTTGGAATTTTCTTTTCCACTAGTAGAAGTAATAAGAATCACAAATTAATCACGTAGAAGTGAAATAGAATTATTTTTGAGATAAATGGAAAAATTAAAACTGGTAAGGATGTTTTTTAAGGTAGTAAGGATGGTTTTAATTACTCTGCAATTGTTTAATTTGGTCTGATCTATTTATGTATAGTTTGATCTCATCTGAACTGAAACGAGTTCAATTAAGAACATACTAAGGATGTTCTTAATTAAACCGGTTTCACTCCACACTAGACCTGACAAGACAAATCAGACTTCAATAGCCGTAAAATACATGTTCAAGATGCACCTACCAAACCAAACCTGATCAAATCAAACCGGACCAAATCTAACCAAGCTTAAATAACCAAGTTTCAGTTTAATAATAGTATAGGTTGTCACATTAGTCAATAGTCCATAAATGAGCCATATGAGTTTGGTAAATTTTTGGACGTGGTAACGCAAGAAAAGGAGATAGCAATTAAGTCTGCCATTCCCAAAAAATGAACTTCCAAAATTACTGGCACCTCCTTACCTCAATTGGTAAGTAATGGCTGTAATGGTATGGGGACAGGATATAGTGGTAAAAAAGCAATACCCGCCGGTTAAAACAACGACGGTGAAATTTATGTAATGTTTTACCTGCTACATTGCTGGCAAAAGCGACGTTCCAAGCCACCCACCATCACTTTCGGGAACTTCGAGTGACTCTCGCAAACCCTATGCTTCCGGTGGTACTCCTTCCCCGACGACAGGTCCACGTGGCATCCCTCCACCTGGCACCGCGCCCCGGCCCCACCCCCAGCCGTCGATGGTTTTCTCGTCTTTCCGCCGTTCCCTCCGCCGCCGCCGCCGTGGTTCTCAAAATATGTCCTCTTCCCCAGCTTCAACCCGATGCACGCCTCAGCCGAGCCGCCGATCGACGCGTCCTTCGCTTTGCGATTTTCCGTTTTTGCCCCTGCCCCGATTTTCGGGGAAGAGGTGGAAGAGCCCTGGGCCCCCGGGTCGGAGACATGGCTACCCCCTGATATATTGTTATTTTTATTATTGAAGGGTGCATTTACGATTTCGCCCTCCTCTTCCACTATTCCCCAGTCTGTGAGTTGCAGTTTCTGGGGACTTTCACAGGCTTTTGAGCTCAGCTCAGCCAAGCTTTCCCAGTCCCACTTTGCATTCCACTCCATCTTTAATTGTGTGTTATAACTAGCCCAGCATTAAATCTGCAAAGACATGCCATTAATTTCTTAAATAAATGATGCCACATAGATTCTAACTAGCATTTAGAGCCTGTTTGGTATGGTAGGCTTCTCCATCTTAATAAGTTGATTATAGACTTTACTTATTTAGCTAACATATTGGTTTAACTAAAATTTGGAATAAATCAAGATTTGGGTTCTTTATGAAAAATTGTATCTTTAAATTTGGCAACATATCTAACATGCCCCTTCATATTGATTGAATGGTTGATCTTCATTGATTATGATACCATAATAAGAGCAAATTCTATCTTTTGATCAATAGGATAGGAGTATTAATTAAGAGTATTAACTCAAATACTCACACTTTGACTTTGTTTCTTTGTAATTGGCTGGTATGAGATGGCTTGCCACCAAATAAAAATACATCAAACTCACCTTTCTCAGCCAAATAACTCATACCATAGCAGATTATTATATTCCATGTATTTTGCTTTGTAGCTAGTGGAAAAGAAAAGTAAACTAGTTCGAATTGGTGTGAAATTAGTGGACATTAGAAAGTAGAAACTCATGCAAAAATTTCAAATCTTTAGAACAGAATGAATGCCTTTTCTTCTACAGCAACCTTCTTTTGAAGGAATACTGGAAATCAGGAGAGATGCTCCATATATCACATAAAGAAGAATTCAAGATTCAGTTTTGAGAGTGAAAGAAGATTAACTTACCACCTGGGGTTCAGTCTATGATATGGCAAAGATGCAATCTTTCGTGATCTTGTTCCCTTTTTACCCTCAGAAAGTATTCCCAGCCAAAACCTACAGTCCAAAGCTAGCTGAAGCAATTTACAAAAAGGAGGGGATAAGTCAAAAACATCCTCAAATCACTAATTTATATTGTCTTTATCCTGCAGAGAAACTCCTCCAATCATTCAAACATACGGAGTATCAATCTCAAGAAAAGTAGAAAAACAAAACAATAAAAATCTTATTTCAACCTCTTGCTGAGCTGATGGTTCAAATAGACAGACAAGAATGCATGACTAGGATTGACTTAGACAACAGAGTTAGATTAGTGAACAAGTACACAATTATCCCCTAAACCCAACAATAATACCCAAAGTCTACTTTGTTCCATCTCTTCCATACCAATGTCACTTTCAACTTTTCAACTTGAAAGTCAAATTTTTAAATAAATTTTAAACTATATACATAAATAAACACATTCAGTCATTCACAAAGAAAGTTTAGGGGAAAAACGCCCATTCCTTTCACATTTCCTTTCCAAAAGTGAGAACGTGAAGAAAACATCTTCCTAACACCCCATCATCAATGGAAGGTCCATTATGGTCCCCAAATAAGCAGTGTTTATTTCAAAACAAAACACGTTCCCAAAGAAACGGTATCGTTTCCTACCCCTTACATGTTGCAGCAAGATCTGCTCCTGACGTCAGTGACGTGGAGACACATGTTTTCTTGCAAATAAAAGGGATAAATTTTATAGTACAAAAAGGAGAGCAATCTTGCTTCTTCTTTTTCATTCTCAAGTTTTAGCTAAAAGAAGCTAACCCAAAATTGGAATTTGACTGCAGTTTTCTCAAAACCGTAAAAAAAATGAAAACTTTACTGATTACAGATAATGAAATGGTTTTTTCTTACACTTCTGGTACTATTTGATCACAGTAAAACAGTAGGGGGCTAGTGATGATAATGAAATAAGGTGCCAAATGATTCTTTCGCTTCTTGAGTACAGAAGCAGATATGGAATAGGAAGGGAAGAAAAAGGTTACCACAGAGAGTAAATGAGAGTTCCCAAGAAATGTTGAAGAGGATAGCTAGAAGTGTAGAGAGAGACTCAATGAGTGTGACTGTGTGAGTTGTAGCCTGTTTGCTTTTACCTTAAAAGGTGTAGCGTAGCTGTGTATGCTGCAGAATAACCAAAGTACCCACCCATAAATTTTATGAATCTCTCCGAAAATTTAAGAATATGGCTGATTACTTTTTTTTATTATGAATCTCTCCGAATATGGCTGATTACTTTAAGGTGAAGAGCCTTTGGCATGGAGTGTGATTATGAGACCTGGCATAATGGAGTACATATATCTATGTGAGACCATTTCTACAAAATTGTATTTTTTTTGTTTTTTGCATCTTTTACAAATTCCCATTATTTAGGGGAATTGTTTGTGATACGGACAAGATCTAAGGAGTGAGTACAAAAGACTTGTACAAATGACATTTTGTAATGCAATTATTATTAAAAGTGAAGTTATATGCTTAAGGATAAGATCTTTTTTATGAATATTACTCCGTACTAAATTAAATGTGAAAGACAAATATATGATCTCTTTTTAAAAATTTCCAAAACTCTGACTTACCATATTATTATGCCTTTTATTTAATTGCATTTATTACTATAACATTCCTTTTTAATACATAGTAATTAATTAAATCGAGTGATTGTTGTAATAGACTAACTATATACATATCTCTCTAGGGCACTTCTGCTGCTAGGGTTGGTTTTCCGTAGTCGTCATTGATGAAGTACGGTCGCCGGCTAGGCAGGTCTTATTTGGGGTTTTCAGTCGGAGAGTAAGTGACGCAGGTGGCGGTCAGGCAGGCTAGCGGGTACGCGGGGTGGAGACTTCGCGTCAGCTCGGGCAGCAGGCTTTCTCTCGACTTCTTTGGCTGACGAATTCGAGGACTTGGACTTGGACTCGAAAGCTGTCTGATTGGAATTTGGATTGGTTTGTTGGCTCGGCTCAATTGGGCGTTGGTTGTTTGGTTGCTACCAACGCAAGGAGACCAAAGTACGGTGGTCTAGGTGTAGGCTTTTGTTTTGCTTTCTTTGGCTTTTGTTTTGCTTTCTTTAAATTTGCAGGTTGTAGTCAGTCATGGTTTGTTTGTCCATCGCTTCACGATTCAATGAGATGAGGATGGTCGTTTGGCAATGTGAAGGTATGGCAATGAGTTTGATCAACAAGGAGCAGGATGAGGGAGAAGATGCAATATTATTGGTCCGACCTCCTCCTAAACCGCCGCCACAGAGTGTAGGAAAGTCTAGGGTTACAAGCTCGGGATGGTGTTTGGCATTTTCTTACTGGAAGACGAAGCAAGGATTTTATTTTTTTGTTGTGCTTGATTTTTTTTGGTGTTGAGTACTCTGTTTTTTTTTCAACTTGTGATTTTTTTTTGTATTGTAAGACTTGGAGCTTGGATTTGGGTGATATGAGGTCTGTGGTTATCTTCTTTGGCTCAGTTGTTCCCATTTATGGATCAACGAGTTATATTGCTTCTAGTGAGGTGATTAAATCTGAGTCTGATTCGAGGGTCGGCGATTGACACCTTTCCTCAACAAAAACAAACATACTAGTAATAATTAATTAGTCACTGCTGTCCAGCTACCCCAACAACCACCACCGTCAGTGCCGCCGCCGCCACTAACACAGCCGCCGCCATTAGTCACTGAACCGCATTAGTGACTACCTTCTATGTCACTGTGTGCATCCCTCTGGTGCCATTAGTCAATTGACCGCATTATTAACTACTCTCTCATCCCTTGGTGATTGTTGCCGCCACTATCACTTTTTACTGACAGTGATCCTACTATCAGTTACAAGCAACGCCAACAATTAGTGATCGCCCCCTCAATGACTGCTCCCCGATAGTGACTGTCCAATCAATGACCCACCCTCTAAAACCCAAATAGTGACTCAAGTGCCCACTATTAGTGACCCGCCGCCCCATCCCATCGTAAAAATGCCCTAGTGACCTACTCAAGTTGTCACGCCCCGGACCCACCGGACACGTCAACAACCCGCCGTACAGTACGAATAGTCAACCGCAGTCCAACTCATCCATACTATACTAGGCGTCTTGAATACCATTCACACATAGTACATCCATAAACAAACATAATGTAAAATATTCATTTAAAGCAGCGGAAACATTAATACACGTATTCAAGCCACACGTGGCAAACATGGGCATACAAGCCCCCAAATAGTATTCAAAATAATTTCCATGAGCATTATTGTAGTTGTTTAAAACAGAAACGGAAGAAGCACGAACCACGTCCTCCTCCTTTGATCTTCCCGAAGCAACGGGCGTGGTAGCAACCTTCAAGTCCTACCTGAAACTGTGAGGTGGCCTCCCCCGTGAAGGGGAGGTCAGTACTTGGAAGCATTTGACAAGTACAATGACAACTATACTAAGTATAATCAACGTTTCAATTTCCAAGACCCTCAAATAGGGTGATATTACAATATAGGTCATAACTCGTGGTTACCCTCTTTACAAATATACTTACTTTATATATAAAGTCAAGTAATCGGCCGAAGGCTCATGTTTACTTTGAAAACATTTAACCCTTCCCCCGTGACTTCAAGCCACACCCATCTATATCAGTTTACCATGCTAGAGGCTTCCTCTAGTCATGTTTTGTCGTGCTAGAGGCTGACTCTAGTCACTACATTCGGTGTTAGAGGCTTCCTCTAATCACCTTACATACTTTGTGCTGGAGGCTTCCTCCAGTCACATTACATTATGCTAGAGGCTTCCTCTAGTCATCTTACACTACGCTAGAGGCTTCCTCTAGTCGTCCTACACGAATGCTGGAGGCTTCCTCCAGTCATTCCTCATCGTGCTAGAGGCTTCCTCTAGTCACGATACTACTCACTAAGCAAATTCTATGCCTAGGTTTTCTCTATCTTGAGTAGCCTATGAGGCCTACTCCTAATGTAATTTAGCGGTTACCCATTCCTACCTTAAGACATCTCATAAGACTACTTAAGGTGCATCCTTCACAATCCAAGCCCTTAGGATTTGTTCTATCACTTTTTACACTAACATTCCCGACTAGTGAATTCAATACTAATCCATTAGTCTTTAAACAACCAAGATCTTTAATTCATTGTTATAAGGCTCATTCCTACGGATCTTCCACTCCGTGTATGATTTAATCTCAATATAAAAATATCACTTTTATCCATTCATGATTTCTATGCATGAAGTAAAAGTATATTTTATCACATAAATTCATGGTTTGTACAATCATTATACCATCATATTTGTAATGCATCATCATACACAATTTTCTCATAAACTTGTATGTTATGCATCTTCTATTCACAAACAATAATATTTCCATTTAGGCATTACTAATCATTAATAACCTATGAAAATCACATTTAATTACTTTAGGTAATCTTATGAAATTAACCCAAAGATTATAAACAATATAGTCGGTCATCCTCACCTCAAATGAGCTTTAAAACTTTCCTTCTCGATCCAATGACCAAAGCCTCGGCCAAGAAAGATTGAGGACTGATTCCTTGCTTGGAATTGAGTGTTAAACAGCCTCTTCAAAGTGCTAGTTCAACTCCTAACCGAAGACACAAAAACAGTCCCTAGAACGGGTGTTTCCCGACGAAATCGTTCCCTAACCTTTCAAGGTTTTGTCTAGATTAGTGTCTAACTTTTCCAACAATTAAAGTCACTTTATAATAACATTTTATACACTTCAATCAGTGTATAATAGTTCTTCAATCATTTATATGGTTTAGACAATAGAGAGGAAGGTTTTGGATTCAAACTTACTTTGAATACAAAAACGTATTCCGCGAGGTTGTGTTTTTCTCGGACGATTTGAAAGCCTTCCACTACTCCGATTGATGCAAACCAGACCTTCACGGATTCCTCGTCTTGAGAGCTTTCTGTGGGTATCTCGCACGCCTTATTTGGATGTGTATAACTCGAGATATGAAGCAAACAAGTAACCTTACGCACTGGAAAACGAACCTGCGGCAGCTTCCCCTTCCTCTTGCTTTCTTGGTTGTGTGGCTCTCTCTTTCTCCCTTATCCTTGGGAGTTCGAATGAGGGGCTTAAGGGAGTGTCCAAGACCCTTCAATAAGGGTGGATAAGTTGTGTGGAGTGAAATGAATTGGTATGGTCTCCATGAGATGTTTTTAGACATGGGTGGGTCTCACTTTTGATCTCTTTGTCATAAGATGTCTCTTTGTACTCATTCTAATTTATTTGGAACAAGTCAACTCTCTACATCATATTATTGATCTCCAATATGTGTATGATCATCCCAATAATTTACATGATGAATATTATAGAAGAAAAACCCTACTCCCATTATTTAGCTCAATAATGCCAAAGATGGGGTTATAGGCATTTGTATTCTTCTCAAATCATCCTATCACTTATTTTGACATTTGCCATTCATATTATTAGGCTACAAGCCGTGTGGGTCGCCCCCGAGTGGGCCTACGACGCCATTCTCGAATACTTGCTATTCTAGCGGGTTGAGCCCAAAATAATATCTGGGCCGCCCGCCCTTCCTCAACTTGTCTTGAAACGTTATGTATTAATATTTAGATAATGTTAGGCTCTTTTATTTATTAATAAGGCCCGATACTTATATACGAGTTCGAACAGTACAATAATCGATCATTAATTACGTAAAACATTAATCGTTTTACAATCGTTTGGGAATCAGAAATCCAATACATAAACTTTGAATTTTAAAATCAAGTTTTCAAGGACGTTCGGGTGTGGTGTCACAAGTTCACCCCCCCTTAACAGGAATTTCGTCCCCGAAATTCACAGCTCTACTCGAATAGGAAAGCATACTGCTTCCTCATCAAAGCCTCTGTTTCCCATGTCTCCCCTTCGACCTGATCGCTCTTCCAAAGTACCTTAACCATTGGGACCTCTTTGCTCCTCAGTTTCTTCACTTTTCTATTGGTGACCTTGATTGGTTGCACAGCGTAGTTCCCCTCAATGCCCTCAAACAAGTCGACAATGCCCCAGACGAACTCTTCCGACTCAGGGCATCTGCTACAACGTTTGCCTTACCT